ATAACGTCCTCTGTGTTGTACAGTCTTCAAAGCATCTATAGTACCTTGATACGTCAATGGGGTAATCTATGTAAGGTGCAGACCGCGAAGTGTGACTTCGACGTTAGCTAGTTTGTCACACCACTCACGTCTAACTCGACATAGATTATCCACGCTGGTGATCTACAAGCGTTACAGAGATGAACCGTTGGTAGCATATATTTTACAGCTTAGGTTAATTAGTTAAGAGATGACCTCAAACATCTAAGTGTTTGTAAAAACAATAGGGACCAATTCATTGCTCACTTATTTCGTATAGGCATTATATTTCCTATTATCTTATATTGAATTTTGAAAGGCCTTATGTGTTTGAACAGGTGACCTCCCGCTCCATTGTGACTGTCCCGCGACCAAAATAAAGACCCATTCATTACTACTTTGGTTTCTTCTTTCAATAGAACGGTTGTCACCTTCAGTCAAAAAATATACTTCAGATGTCATACTGTCTATAAAACAAACAGGATTTTGCATTTATTTCAGTGGTTATTACTAGTGGTCTTCAGGCAGCTGCTAAAACGGGCTTTATTTTAGGAAGGATTTCTATCGAAAGTAAGAAGGCGTACTTTGGAGTCATGTTATGGATACTTAATTTAAATACTGTGCTACGATAGCGTGTTCAAAGTTGATAGATGTGACATTCCTACTATTGTTTCTTTCGATCTGTTTATTCTTGTCAGTTTGACAGGATCATCGCTGGGATATATTACGGAGCTGTGTTGACTAAAGTTGATACTAATATCTTAACGATTTCTGAGAAAACAGGTACAAAAGGTCATTGATAGTGTTTCTGACGTCATGCAAACATAATACCCTTGAAATCTTCAAGGTTATTGCGGACAGTTGCCTTAAATTCATCGAGTTTGTTAGTATCTCGAAGGAATGGTGTATCGAGATTCTTGGTTATGTTTGTCACGTTGTTTAGGGCTTCATTTTAGATCCAGTTTCAGTTTGGTCCCACCAGGGGATTATGTGAATCCATTTCAGCTCCTCTATTTCGACTTGTGTCTTCCCTGAATATTCCGAACATCTTATTGATGTCATTGTAGTCGGTCTAGTTCTCTATAGTGTGGTCCGTTTGCACGTTTGCAGCTGAAAGTGAAGCTTTAAACCGTCAGTTGAGATGTTCTAAAAACAAATGGTTCTGAAGATGCCACGAGTATTCAGAGTTTGACAACGCTTTAACCAGTAAAACCTTCTAATATGAAGCGCACCCACCAAGTGAAATCAAAAGACAGAAGGGAGGAGGTTCGAAGATATATTTGAGAAGCTATCAATATATCGAGGATCGTCTGAACTAATCTGGCTAGCTATTGCGTTAGATGTTGAGCACGGCGTTCCCACATGTGATCTGGTGCGGATGCATGATCGAGCGCCCTCAGCTAGGTGAGTCCATTAAAACCAATGTGGTCAGCATCCAATGTCGAAAACTTACAGAGCTATTTATTTCTGGGATTTATTTACCGCTACCGTTCTGAGAGCTTTCAACACTGATGCTCACTCCACTAGCTATATTGTACGCAACCTAGCTGAAGGCCCTCGGTAATGCATAAAAACCAGATCACGAGTGGGTACGCCATGTTTCACATTCCTTGCCACTACTAGTCAGCTTAGGTCAAACATATTGGTAAATTTTCAAACATCGCAATCATTCATCCCTGACTGGGTTTAGGGATTTCCAAATATAGAGGTTTCAAGGACATAAACGTCGTAGGACTTCGAATATTTTTGACATTTTAGCACAGTCCGTAGTAATGATTTGAGGGCAGCCGAAGTTCACAATTAATCATTTGGAGAGTTTGCGAGCGACTGTTTTAGCAGCAATGTTCTTGATGAGTACTGCTTCTGGTCATTATGTGAAACGGTTTACATAGGCAGATATATGACTATTCATTTGATTCCGGCAGAAATTTCATCAGATCAAGATGAACGCGTCCATAAAGAGTGTCAAGAGTTTTGAAATTACCCATGACATCCTAAATTTTTTAAGCAGCTTGCACAGTGGTTCTTCTACTCGTTCGAATGTTCATCCATTCTAGGTTAGTAAAATCGTGCTGCCATAAGCTTGGTGGTTGCTCGAATATCTGAATGAGAAAGTTTGCACAACTTATTGAGGATGCTACATCGATAATGTTCCAGTGAGACTGGACGATATCAATCGGTAGATGTGTCACGTAGTAAAGTTTCACTACGTGTTCCCATCTGTTTAATTCATATTTTTAGGGTTGCTGAATGTAGCTAATGTTGAATCTCATTGTCTTCTCTTTGTAAGCATACGAGCATAGGACGGTTGATTTCCAGGAAGCAATCCAGGAAATTTACAGAAGACAAGGCAACTACAACTACATCAATCACTCCACAAATGTGTTGTATGACTGAAGTAAGCTGAGAAATGTAGTCAATCTATTGTGACTCTCGAGAGAAGTACTTGCCTGAAAACCAGTTGAGAGCGTATGTAGAACCATGGTCTACTATGATATTAGCACTGCTCTGATAATAGACCTGATCCGAAAATTGTAGATTTGTTATGATGTAACTGCCTAATCTATAAGATCTTACGTGGAAGTCACATCATCATCTACCCAACTCACTGCATTGCAACAATTACCAATACATCATTCAGAACAATCTTAGGCTAGATATAGAACAATATATTTAAAATGAATGAAAGATATGAGGTAAAATCCAGGAGGGACCACACCTGCATAGTCGAGCCATGCCATACGACCAACTTTAATTTATTCAATTCATTCTCCCCGCCTTCTCCATTCTTCTGTATTTCTCCGCGTTAAATGTTTAATGTCTATTTTTCATACTCTCTCGTGGTAGGGCCCAATGCTCAATGTCAAAGTTTTATGATCAATCAAATGGTTGAAGTTGGAACCCTGTGGGAAGTGTTCAACGTGACGTTTTGGACAATACATGGTTGGGAGTAACCCACTATCTCGTGAAAGATCTCAAATGTTGATAAGGCTGTTTGCCCATGAATGTAAGACTAATCCAGTTGCTTAGTCGAATGCATTTACAGCAACACCAAGGGGTTGAAGATGACACAAGTATTTGTAGTTTGACAACACTTTAACCAGTAACACCTTCTATGATTGAATCGTCCCCACCCAGTGAAACCAAAAGTCAGAGGCGAGAAGGTTCAAAGATGTATTTGATAGGCTATCAATATATCGATCAGTGACTGATCTAAATCTTGATATTGGTTCAGTGAGACTGGACTATATCAGTCGGTAAATATGTTACGTAGTAAAGTTTCACTACATGTTCCCATATGTCTAATTCATATTTTTAAGGTTGTTGAATGTAGCTCATGTTGAATCTCATTGTCTTCTTTTTGTGAGCATACGAGCATAGGACGGTTGATTTTTCGGAAAACTGTTTAAGAAAGTTATCCGAGACAAAGCGTCTGCAACTAAATTTTTTTTCCGTAAATGTTTGTATGACTGAAGTAAACTGAGCAACACAGTTCAGTTGTCGAGAGTCTCTATGTGAGAACTTGTCTGAAGGTTAGCTTAAAGATAAGCTACGAGGTTTGTGATCGATGAGATGAATGAATTCTATCCCCTCATCAAAGTGTTTAAAGTGCCGCACAGCACAATGCATGGTCAGGAATTCCTTAACGATAGTGCTATGCCTCGACTCAATGCCTAGCAACTGTCTTGAGAAGAACGCAAACGGTTGCCGGGTGTGATTAACTCATCAATTTGTGACCACCGATTTCCGTTCGGATGCGTCTACTGCGATGCTAACGGGTGCTTCGGCGCCATGATGTGCAAGTATGGTTGGATTTGCGATAATTTCCTTAGTTTTGCAGAATACTTTTCTCGCGGTAACGTCCGAATCGGTGGATTTCGCATTTCCATGACGTTTGTCGGTTAGAGTTTTCATAAGGGACGCTAAGTTTGGTATGAACCGTGTATAGAAGCCTTACTAATTCGTTAATTGTTCGTAGTTGCGTGATTGCGCTTGAATTTGTGTAATCTAGACTAGCCACCAGTTCGCTTTTCAGAGGTCAGATTTCTTGAGCATCAATAGTTCGTCCGAAAAAATCGAGAATCAGGTCCGAATTGGCATTTCTGAATGTGTTATAGTAATGTCATATTGTAGCCGTTCAAAGACAAGGTCCAGATGCTGGAGATGAGATTCACTGTCTGCAGTCATCAACATACGCATGTACGATGTTGAGATCTCAAAAGACGTCATCGATTAATCTTTTGAGCATTTGTGCAGCATTTCTTAAGCCGGAAGACATGCACAAATGGTTGTAGAAGCTGATGGCGGTTTTAGGTATGTCGTCAACAACAATGGGAATTTTGTTATATTTTCGAAAAAAACAGTTGTGTCTTTCAAGGTAGCAGTTAAATCGTGAATGTGATGCAACGGGTAACGATCATAAAAAATGACTACACAGAAAAATAAGGATGATTGAATCACAAAGCATTGTTGTGCTAACAAATGAATTTCCACTGTATATAATGTAGCTTTAGAATGAATATATTGAAATAACTTTATTCAGTACCACATATTGTTGATCGATCACTCTCTATCGCTTTCAAGCTTGTCCGTTATTTGTCCATCCTCCAAAATTTCAGTCAATCTTTTAATAATACAAGATGATGGTGGTCATAGTGTTGACACGGGGACCTTCAGTGACTTATTATCATGCAAAATCCGCTTGCTTAACTAGTGGCATAAAATGTCTGAAAATTAAAAATTACAAGGTTTTTATTATGAATATCTCTGTTTTAGTGATTGCATAGTCAACTAACTCTGTTCATCAGTATGTGATTCCAACTACAACTTCGCCTTAGGAAAAGCTCGGTTGTGTACTACCTGCGCACATCTTACTTATAACATTCCCTGGGTTTAAAAATATAGAGCTTCATATGGACGTCAATTGCGTCCTGGGAATAATTTGAAAACATGGATCGATGTTGTTTTAATTTATCGAAATTCTGTTTACTAGGTCGTCGTTATTTACGTACAACATATAAAAGTTTTATCTTTTGTCATTTAATGGTCACATTCAAATGAAGTGTATAAGACGAAGTTACGTACTGTGAACAAGGATAAATAATTTATTCGTTGTATGGGTTCTTCAACATCAAAGCATATCCTCAATGCGTAAGTACAGTATTTGGAAGTAAACAATCTACTGAAAAATCTAATGTAGAAAACTTTTTTCGGAAACGTTTCTAGCTGATATAGGTTGTGACGAGTAAGTTGAGAATTTTTCTATATCATTTTTTGATAGTAAGGGTACTGTTTTGTGCAAGGATGAGGGTTTACCATGTTTAAATGGTGGAGTTTGCGCACTTTATGTATCCGAAATAGACGACAAGTGCATTAAACGCTGCAAGTAAGTGTTCATTAAATACTTGTGACTGTATGACAATTTTTGTTCAAAATCATGTTTCACCTAATATTCAAATCTGTGCTAGTAATTTTTTACCGTTATCAGAGATCACAATTTTGAAAAACATTTCTGAGGAAAGTTTTCCAATCATATTTTGTTAAATCTGTTTCTTACAATGTATATTTTTAATGGTTTAATCACTGGGAAATGATCACGGTATAAATGAAACTTCACATAATTTCGAATTTTTGGTTTTTAGTAAGGAAATATAAAACGAAATATAATTAGACTAAAACTCATGTCTTTGGAGTAAGCAGGAAAAATCACTCTATTTTTTAGTTTTGAAACTCAATGAAGACTTTAGGATCTTCTTAAATCTAACTTATATTATGACTCAATTCTTTTTAACGTCCACAGTAATGTGAATTTCATGTCTTTTTTTTTCGCTAAATCTGTAAACGATTTTGTTGTTTCTAGCAGTTTATAAAGATATGGCTTGCAGTTCATATTAAGAGTTTTATTCTGAAAATTTCATCTATACATTTACAAAGGCAAGGCCTATATGTTGAATCATTCTACTGATATACAATAAAGAAATTTAAAAAAAACTACGATGACTCATACACCTTGCTCGACTTTATATCGCAAGAAATTTGACTACCTTTTTTCAATGAGGGGATAGCTCTCTCCTTCTTCGATATGCGTTGTAAGAGTGAATCTGACAAAGAATTATTAAATGATTCGAAGAGGTTAACGAACCCGGTTTGCTGAAACCTCTAGAGCCAAACGAGTGACTGAGTTAGAATAATTTAAAGCGACCAGGTTTTCTATGAACAAAGGGTCGCAGATGCTTAATAAAATGATTATGCTTGCCAAACTTTCGGTATAACCTACAAATCATAACCAAGTTATTGCACATGAAGCTTCGGATTATTGTTCGAAAATTTAGGCTTAAATTATGTATATACGTATTTTAACGTCCTTATCTATCTTAACCCCTAATTTTATTCAAGGAAAGTTGTGAAGCGATACATCAATACGTCTAAAACCCTATACTGCTTTTAATCTAATGTTGTATTACTTTGAAAATGTCAAGTATATGTTTGTATAATCGCCTCCACTTTTATGTTCTGTGTCCTTTTAATCCGTTTTGCAGGTTGGCTTTTAATCAGAATTCGAAACTAAAATAGCATCCATCCACAACGTTTTAACAGTGAATGCACACAGAAGGTTTTACTTTTAGTCTTTTTAAATTTCTAAATTATTATGACAAATTCCGTTCAACATCTTGTAGTGTGCAGCATCAAATTTCATACCTACCACCTTTTAGAGCCAAGAGAAGAAATTAGTTAGTGAATGAAGTCTTAATCCTTACAAAATGCACATTTTACTTGTATGCATCATTTTAATTTTCAAGCAGTGTTAGGTGTAGCTGTGTAAGTCGAATGGTGATTCACTCGATTGAGAAATAGTTTATGGACTGAAAATATCGAATTCCTTTGAACATTTATATTTAATACTACTGCTGAATGAACTATTCATCATCTGCTGATGATATATCAACAGCTGATATCACAGAGAATTTCGATTAAGTTGGTACACTCAACCCAGATGACTTACAGATTTCAGTGTTGTTAAGCTTTGTTGACACTATAAAAATAAATCCTTGACATTTACAATAGGTCACTATAGTTAACTAAAAAATCCGTATTACGAGTAGTTTATTAACGGATCTCTGTCTACTTGTATAGAATTCAATTCACTTCAATATTAATTTACTTTGCACAGCGAACATGTTCTAAACAATTCATTTCTGTACATGGGATATTATCTATAGACAATTCATCTTACTTGAACTAATCACTGAAAAACTACTAGGAGATGCTAGGCATACCGAAAGAATGACTTACTAAAACAGTAGTTCATGAAAGTTCGATTGTGTCATTAAATTAAGTTTCTTCATTCGCTTGACATTTTTTCAAAATAAATATAAGCAAAAAATGTCCAGTTTCATAGGTTTTTAATTTTTTTATGGCAATGTAGCCTTAAAGCACTTTTCATAAACATAATTACATTACGTTGACTGCAGCAGTACTGAATTCAGAAGGGCTTATTCAAAGCATTAAAATTTTTTACTTACTCAAAAAATAATGAAAACAATGAGAAAACATTTGATAAATTAAATTAACACAAACTATAGTGCTTATGTTGCAAAAACGATCATTAACTACTGTTACAACGTTGAGATAAAACATGCAGCCAGTTGATGCATATTTTGATGACATTTCAGGTGGAATCAACTCATGATCTATTTACTGTGAATGTTTAAAAACATTAATCAAATTTGTTAATTTTCACTAATTTGCTAGGTGTTTGTGACCACTTACATTACAAATGGTGAATTTCGGTTCCAAGTTACAACAATTAAAGATATTCCTAAGTTTGAACTGACTTTAACCTTCAGAAAAGTAACCACATATAACGAAGCAAATTAAGTGTTCATCATTCCCTAACATTAAAACCAGCTCTATGAATATGATGAAAAATCAACTTCGGATTTGAACAAGGAATTTTTGTCTACTTCTACTCACTAGAGGAATCTAGGGACTTGGAGTCAAAAGTCAATAAGGATGGAATGTTTATTAGATCATAGATATCAGCAAATGATTTATTTAGAATAGGTGGATAAATTTGTGCAAAACATTGACAAAAATGGACCAAAAAGATAAGGATAATGTTGGTCAGAAAACATTTTAAAGTGAAATAAATAAATAACGTAAATAACCTCCTTGTTACTTAAATTCTTATCTTACTAGGTTTCATTAGAAAAACAAAATGATGTATCAACTCTTAATTGTCTATGCTGTTATATATTTTATATATGTAAGGAAACTCACAGGAGTACACAGAAAAACTAGTAGGTTAAAATGATTTTTGACAGACGAAGGTAACTTAAAAAGATTTAGGGAAATCTAGGAAAAATAATAAAGTAAATATGTTTACAAAATATCTAGAACACAAGATTTAAATGTAAAAACGGTTAAATAAGTAAAAACAATTTACTTGTAATCGAATAGATAAGTGATTTTATTGATTAGAAATTATACGTTTACATGTGTATTTATAGGTCAATGACTGTTGTTAGTTTCATGTTTAGTAAATTAACTATAGTCCATTAAATATATTGGATCTATTTTATTATAATTTTCAGCATCATGTGAACTCACTGCTATACACCACGTGAACATTGGAAAACAACCGATAATTTTGTTGACGTAAATTAGACATAAATAACTGGAGAAAACAACCAGAAACTTATCAGATTGACTAAAAGCGAATTAAACTCACGAATCCCATGACCGGGCAGTATAGTAAAGACTATATCTTTTAAATAACATCTATGAACTACTAAACATTGGATCGTTTCCATATGTGTGTTCTCGAGAAAATGATCTTTTAGTACGCAAAGGATTTATTTTAGTCACAGGATTGGTTGAACTTATGATAAGAGTTAGAAATATTTTTATTTACTCCCGAGTTACGTCATCTACTCAGAACTAAACTATAAACTTATATGTAGTTTTGAATTCATGGACGGATGGTGGCTTGTATGATATTGCGTCATTTATTTTGGTCATAATGCTTAGATTGCCATTTTAAATCAAGTCAATTATGCTGAAAAAAGAAAAGTGTTTACGCTAGCCGATATCTGAGCCAAAATAACTACAACAAAAAAATGAACAATTTTTTTATTTAAAGGTTTGATAAAATATATAAACTCTGGACAACTATAATTATAATACTTTGTTGCATTTTAAACATGTTTGTCTAGGATATAAAGAATCTAAACTGTAGGCCTTTATCTGTCACTTTACTTTATCGTTATAAAATGTTTCTTGGGACAAATTAGTCAAAATGTTATCTTAGGTAGAATTATTATTTCTCTGATAATCGCAATTTTTTTTTCATCCTGTACCTAACAAAATATCGCAAAAAAAATTAAGAATTTTTATTATAATAAATAATTCATACGCTTTCATTCCACTGTGCAAAAATGAATATACAATGAGCAAGCTGTAAAAAATATATTTTTATCTTGAAGTAATACACTAGTTATTTAATAAAATGTAAAGTTTATTTCTTCTTCATCTAAACAAACAGAGAATCAGTAGTTATTATACTCATATGATGATTGATAAATTTGAAAATTACAATAGGATTCATAGGAGAGTTTATATTAACCAATTATCTTTTTCAGATTAGTCTCTACTTAGTGGACTTCGTTTATTAATAATTAACTAGAATTTTCAAAGATTGGTGTGTAAATCAATTGATGCTCGCCGCTGCCACAAGACTAATCAACAGTTTATAGGTTAATTTTCGGTGATTTTGTCCACTTAACTGTTTTATTTACTACAGAGTTTTTAGTAATAGTAAAGTTCTACTTGAAACAGAACGCAGGGCGATTAACGTCTGTTCATTGCACCATACTTACTGGATATTTTATAAACTAAATCTTCAGATGATCTAAAGTAAGTTAGAATAGGTATATTGTTAGTTACCAAGAACTACTGTACTTTTATGCCGTTAAAAATAAAATTATCGAATTAATCAAATCTATAGATTTGCTCTAATGAATACTGTTTAGATTACATCAAATGTGTTACTACGCTGTAAGTCTGTTGATCGTTTTGATAAAGATAACTCTTGTGTAACACTTAGAAAGAGTATTTTTAAATGATGAACTGGATGGTGGGTCTGTAAAATCTCGGAAATAAATGGTCTCTTGACATTATATCAGCAAATATCAGTGTTGTGTTTGATATTTTTCAGTTTAAATGGAAGTAGAATTTTGTGACAAATATTCTAATCATCAGTAATTTATTACTTAACATGATGTTTTTAATGTTTGTTTCTAATCTATATGTAATAGTTATGTTTAATACAGATTACCGTATGCAAATTGCTTCTACACTGAATCTTCAGTAGTAGTAGTGTAGTGG